AACCTCTGGGATACCCGTATTAGTCAAAAAAAAGTGAAAGGAATAGTTTGTCTGAAACTAGAAAGCATCCCAGTTATGGATGTAGCAATATACTAGATGCCATGCACAATATGAGAATGAAGACCACACACAAGATTCTTCTTAATATGGAAGTAGCTGCCTAATTAGGAAGACTGAAACAAAAGGTGGGATTAAGCATTGGCATTCTGTTAAGCAACAGATTACAGCACCAAGAAATCTAATTCTGCTGTCTTGAATACATTTTATACTATACCGAAGTCCAGAGTGATCATTAAACCATCAGTTTTTTCCAAAAAAGCTGGACAAAATAGTTACATATAAGGGCCTCCTCAAGTCAATACAGTCAGTAGTAAGGAATATAGGATTGTCTTACACAAAGACATTTCTTGGAGATGCTTCATTGTTCTAATGCTGATTTTGGTATAAATATTCTAACCTGCAGTATTCTAGGGGGTTTTTGTTTGGTTGGTTGGGGATTTTTTTGTTTCATTTTGTTTGGTTTTTGTTTCTACTTGCAATACATCTATCTATAACTGAAAAAACCCACCAAAACCAAATAACTTGGAACTTGAGAAAAGTCAGTTTTTGCACCATTAAGACCTCTCCATTTTTCACCAGGGCTTATTGACATTTGATACAATAAGCAGAAGCATCTGTCCACCCCATCTGTACACAAGTATGGCATGTGAGGTCCAATACACAGCTTGTAATGAAATGCTGTTTTCACCACAGTAAACAGAGACAAGAGTTCCTCCAGATGAGCTTATCTTTGTTCCCCTGAGAGCAGAGGCCTAGCAAAGCTAGCCAACAAAATTAGATATTTGGGTTGTATAAACAGTCCCTTAGATTCAATCTTTTAGCTCATGCTCAAGAAAATTCCGCTCTGAGGTGATGTAAGTAGATATCAATTAGCCTTTGGTAAGGTTGTTTAAAGCCAGCATAGCCTACACTCTCTACTTTCTGGTAGGCAAAAATCAAACTGTTTAAATTAACTTTTGAGTAAAAGTAACTTTAGCACACCACAGAGCAAAGCAATAGCTAGTCTCCTCTTTTTCCCCTCCTTGTTCTACACATGCGTAACAAAGTCCTACAAATCCCCAGAAGACTGATTCCTCCAACATAAACTAAAGAGAAAAATAATTTCACTGAAACTCAACTTCAAGATGTAGCAGTTTGTGTGATGCAAGAACAGAAACATATTAGTCTGTTTTCCTAATCAAAACAAATATCTGTTATTGTGATTTTGAACGTCCACACTGACATCCCAATCTAAATCACATCTTTCTGAACATTGCTTTGTAATATGAAATAGCAAGTGTTTGCCTCAGCTTCTTTAGAAATTAACTAACAAAAACTCATTCATCCCGATGTACCACTATGATAAAAAGTAGCAACTGAAAGCATCAGCATCGGTGTTTGTCACTTCTTATCAGAGTCTACAGCTCTGATAAGAAAAAAAAGTCACTACCCTGAATTTCCAGAATGTTAAATAGATTGTGGAAAAACTACTGTTTGCACAAGAGCCTAACTTAATCTGCAGATGGTCAGTGTTTTAATAGGTTAACTTTTTTACTGCTATTATTATTTTAATTAGTTTACATGGTAAAAGTATGATCATTTGTAGTAGTGGAACAAGATATTTCACTTTTATCACTGATCTACACAGACAGGAAAACAAAATGTTCAGCTATTTCTGGATTCAGATCTAACACTTGGTCCCAGGCAGCAGAGTCCTTTTACTTACTTTACAATGCTCAGTTAAAACCTCTTTCCAGTACCTTTTTTTCCTCAAAACTGACAGGATCAGCTTTTGGTTTGCATCAAGTGAATCAGTTCTCCCTTTGTTCCACTGTGGTGGCATATCTGTAGCTCTATTACTTTTTCAGATCCTATATCAAAAGTGTATGAAATACAGCTCTTCATCACTCTCCTTAAGGAAGATCAAATTTCAGTTGCATAATAAACAGTGACTCTGCATGACATAATGGGGCCTTCATGCATGATACAGCTAAATTAAAAAAAAAAAAAAAAGATATATCAGTATCTGCCCTTGTCTGGAGACAGAGGAAATTTGGCTTAGAAAATAAGGAAATTATACAAATAATCCAAAAATCAATGGGAAAAAAGTTTTTAAAATACTTGAAGTCAAAACAGTATCTTTTTAGCCCTTAAAGTTATCTCTAGTTAATATACAGAATTTTTACTATAATAGCTCCTGTCCTGTGCAGAGAGTCAGGCTACATGAGGGTATTACAAGAGTTCATTTTGAATGGGATATCAATGAAGTATTCACAATATTAAAATTCAGTTTTATGCAGCATTTAAAGGCTTTTGAAGCAGAAAAATATAACTGTTTTCAGCCTGGAAGTTTTTATTAAAAGGTCCCCAGCTTCAAAATCAACGGCTATTTGAACTCTGCAGTTTATGCCTGTAACCATAGAAAATTTATATGTGTAGTACTTAATTTTCAGAACATCTAAGAATTTGATGCTTACACCATCTTCAAATTTTTAGGTACTCAAACTCCTTAATAAGCAACTACAGTAATGTATATCACAAGTCTGTATGAACTGACAAATAATTTTTTATAAACACGTAAGAACATATAGCATACTAACAATTTTAAGATCATCTTGCTTCTTAAAATTGTGTACTCTCAGGTTGAACATCACTTTGGTCCACCATTCAGTTATTTCCTAAAAGGAATTAGCAAAAATGTAAGGTTTTTTCGTTCCTACTGGTTCTATGTGAAAAAATAAAAAAATAAAAAAATGTATGCAGCTCAACATTAATCTTTTCTTCATTTATAATAGCTGCCTAGCTACCCTTGCTTCAGCCACTTAACAATCCTGTTACGAAACAGCTGTTATTAGTGAAAAAATTCCAATCTGGCAGCATTCACAGACCACTGGGAATACAGAGCATTTTAAGGAGTTGTTTCTACAACTCATAGTCAATTCTCTCTCATTCATTTCACTTAGTTTTTTCAATACCCTACCTTAAAGCCTCCAATCAGGATTATGCTTCTAAAGCCTCAGTATCAGAAAGTCTGGCTTTTCTCTGGATTTTCCCATGGAGAACTTCCTGTTCCTCTAGACCAATCCACCCTTCTTAAAACATTTTTTTCCAGTCTTTTATTGCTGCTGAATCTGATTCAAAAGGGGCCCATCTGCTCCAGCTACATCATCAGGAGAGTTCTGCACTTTCACACAGCTGCTGAGGTTTCTGCCCCCATGCAGAAGCTGGAATTGCTCCACCCACTCCCTTTGCACAGAAATGATGTAAAGGAACTGATGAATCCAAAACGCTTTTGCATGATCATTTCTATACTGACTATTTCTCTAATGTAAACTCTCCTTTTCTCACATTTTGCAGGGTCTTAATTTTATCCCTTAATAAAATGCACCATAAAAATTGAGAACACCATTTTCCAATGAAAAGAAAAAAAAAAAATCCTATCACATACACTAATCTTACTATTCATTCCATGAAGCAGTTCAAAAAGCCTGATTGTTTCTATTGAATTCTATCAAGCACTGGAGCAGTTTCTTCAGGACTTTTAGTATTTCCTTAGAATTTAAGTGACTTAACCTCCATTAAATTCTGTAACCACTGAAAAGCAACTACTTGCAAGTATGCTTCAGAAGATCTCATATAAAAAATCAAATTGAAAATTATATTTAATGGTATGCATGCCACTGATAACCTGTAACATGCTCTGAAAATGGATTCTGACAACTTAGGCACACCAGCTTGACCTGAATGCATTATACTGTATATTCTAAAACACCTACAATCACCTGACTCCTGCTACTCATGGAAGGCTATTTCCAAGGCTTAGTAACTTACAAAACTGTATTTCCATATCTGCTTTGACAGAGTCTTGTCCAGGTAAAGATTAAAAATAAACTTAGTTCTGAGCCATAGAAATCCTTGCAGCAAGTTTTCCTTGGTAATGAACATTCCTTTTTTTATAAATGAGCTTAAGTAAAATAAGATCAATTGGAATTGAGTAAAAGAACACACAAAGATTCTGGATTGTTTTTGTTAAGATACAATTAAACTATAAAATTAAGTTTAAATGGCACAGCTTTCTACCTGCATATGAACACTAGCCATGGGAATCAGCTGGACTTGCTAACAGGTCCCAAACTTCAGTTTCTGGGCAGAAGCTGGCAAGGTGTTTACAGTGGAAGTTATTGTACTATGGAATGTGTTTTTTCTACCCATTCACAGTTGATTTGGGGGGCAAGTTGTGTTTCATCTCTTCATTTAGCATTAAGGAGAAGTCTTATTTTCACACACTACTTCTTCACAGTATCTGTGAAGGGCAAAAGTGAAGAACTTATTTTTATTGATAACAAATACGAAATTTTCACACAGTCACAGAAATGAATTACAACTGAATAGTTGTCATCATTTTCCTTACCAGATGTAATGCATACATTTTAGCTCACTTGACCTTGGCAAACCTCAGAAGTTAATCATTTAGTAATCAAGATAAAATATGTTAATAATGGACTTTTTTTTTGTAACAGAACAAAAACAAAGCTTAAGTGAATATACCTCGAATTCATATTTTACCTATAATAATTCACCTAAACTAATACAAATGAAATTAATGAAAAACACTTGAAAATCAAGTTTGGGCAGTTTGTTCAGTTGAGAATTAGGCTCATTAAATGTTAGTATACTGAGGACTGCGATGGCATTGATGTCAAAACGTTCTATAATCTAACAAATTAAACAACAATAATAAGTCTTCATCAAGTTCAGGGTGTAAAAATAATTTATTAACTTTTGCTCATAAAAAAAATCAGCTACTTTTTTTTTAACAGCAAACAGTCAAAAAGGTGACAATTGAAAAGTGTTCAGTATAAAATAAAGCAAGCAGAGTGTAAATTTGTTCTTTAAAAATTAATGCAGTAGCACTACAGAAGCAAGGGTAGCAGAAAAAAAAATAAAGAAGAACTTAGTAAAATATGACAACCAGCAACTTACTTCTATGCTATCTCATCATTTTAGCCAAGGAAGCATTGTTAAAGTAGTATGCAAGGTAACTTTTATTTCAAAACTATCAAGAGTTAATTAAGATTTAAAGGCAACCCTTTCCAGGAGAGAGGGTGTGAAGTATGCCATAGTGATGGTAATTTTATATTCTACTGGTTTTATATTCTATTGTTTTAAGTTTGTAAAACATCATAGAATACTGAAACCAAAAGCTTGCAAGACAACAAGTCTTGACTCTACTGTTTTTGATCAGTGATACGCTGTAAGCAGAGTTTCATGTAGGAGTTTTTATTGCGTATTTCTATCACTGCATCTCTGACAAGCTCAATGAACATTTGAGGCCAGAGTTTCTGCAACAACTCATTTTTCATATTGATGTCAGCTGCTTCTTTCACTAAGTTCTCGACGTATGTCTGGCAAAATGTTTTTCTTTCCTTGATTTCCTGCATGGGAGAACCATTACACATCATATAAGACAAAGAAAGAAAAGGTTAAACAAGAGCAAACCCAAAAAACAACCACAGAAAATTTGATTAATTAAAGAACACAGTGATTAGTAGGCAGACTCCATTGTACGCTTTTTTCTGTTGGTTTTAAGTTGCACGGCCCAGGGTCTAAGTCAAGCTTTTATGTGGCCACAGAATATTATTGTATTAATAACATTCATATTATATTCATTATTTTATCTGATATCTGCTTTCAAGCAGTCCTGTAAATATCTTTTAACAGCACTATAATTTTTGTTGCCTTCTGGCGCAGCAGTGAAAATTTACAGAAATTAAGCATCAGACTACTTTCCTTCCTTCTTTCCCTTCCCTTCCCAGTTTTTCATGATTGTAGTGTAAGAGTTGAAAAGTAAATGTTTAATCTACCTGCCCTAACAAGAACTAAGCATATTGCCACAGAACAGTATGTATCCTTTCCACAGGTTACCTGATGGACTCTGGCAAGTGCATAGTTCCTAATATGTACTATATTAGATACTAAAGTAAACTGAACCTTTTAAAAATAAAAATAATAAAAAAGTTGCACTTTGTGCAACTACTAGCTCTGCATTTTAGTTACTCAAATTGTACTAATCCCCGTTTCTGCAGAGTTTCTATAAAATGCCATAATAAACTTTGAACAATAAGTTATATTGGTGCTAAATATCTAACTAATTTGATTCATGGCACTGTTAAAAATGTTAGGTCATGCTTCAGGCCATCAAAATAGAAGTTTAACTGAGTGATAAAGCAGAGAAAATACTTTCCATCTGTTTCACCTAAAAAACCAAATTATTAATCAATGACTCAGACTGTCATCTTTAGCAATAAACTTATTCAATCTCATTTACTATGTTAGTTTACTGCTGATGGGGAAGTGGAATCAGTCTTTTTGCCTGTCTTGCTCTTCTCTTGTGACATTCTGTAGCATCTGCTGACACATACAAAACACTTTAACAAAGAACAAGGTGTGAATTGCTGCATGGGGAAGAGAAAACAATGCATATATTTAATGGACTGTACAAATACAAATTTTATTATAGTGCTTATTCCACGGTAAAGGACAAGAGGAATACCTCACTGTCTTACTCCATGCCATTCCAAGTTTTAATAGCTACTATCACAGCTTTTGAAACTAAAATGTTTTTTAATTTAATCTCTCCACACATGCAGTCACTGTTACTTTTTTATGCTATGGATCCAAGATCACAAAACCGCAATGCAAGAATTGAATTTTGTGTTTACTGAGTTTGATTTAATTTCTTCCACTAGAGGATTTACATATTTCCACATAATCAGAAAGCAAGTAACAGGACAAGTGTGGGAAGCAGGGTGCATTCAGCTAGAACTCACAATGATTGCTCGGCAAGGAAAGTGTGGATGAAAGAAGCATGTTCTCCCTGGGAACAATTTCCCTCTACCCAAGGAAAAGAGTTAGCAGATCAGAAATGCTAACTAAAACAAGTGTGACTGATGCACTTGTCTGAAACAAGACAGCTTGCAATTTTATTAATAGTGAAACCTAATACATTTCCTATTTATTTATTTTCCTGTAGCTTATTTAAAAGCTAGGAAACAGCTCTTTATTGCTACAGCCAGCAATATCTCAAATCTTGTATGAAGGTGTTCTTCACCAATCCATTTTGGGATATATTTTGTGACTTTTTAATTCCATTAGAAAATCCTAACATGTGCAACATACATTTTTCTTCGTAAAACACTGTTCACTGCTTGTAGTTTACTAATGCAGGTACATTTTGTTACGAACATGAGGCTCGTAGATGAGAATGTATTTCTGAGACTGTGGCACTGTTCAGGAACCACTTCACTAAAGACAGAAACTTAACACTATCCAGTATTCTTGCAAAAATCACTTAGATTAAATATTTGATCATACATATAAATATGGTAAGCAGCAATATTTTAAACCCACCATTCTCAATAGCACAACGGAAACTTGATATATAGACAAATTCCACAAGTACCAGTCTAAGGTTATATAACAGAGGATGAAAGTATTTTGTAATGTTAATTTACCTCAAGCTTTTCCATATGAAAGTCCTTTGTCGTGTAATTCAGTGTTGCTCGAGTTGTGCTTTCCCCTCCGTTTCTGCTGTTATCACTGCTTTCCTCACCCCCAGTCCCAGATTTCTTTCCCTTTCCCTCCAGCAGATAGTGGAACTGCTTCCTCCTGTGAAAAGATAATAGAGATTTACAGTTTTAATTACTGGAAACTTTTTTTTTTTTTAAGTGCTGATGTTTCTAGTGATTATGAGGGTTGTTTTTGTTTTGGTTTTTTTTCTCCTCCTTTCTCCCTTTGAATATGTACATTGTAAGTTTTCAAGTTTATGGTATCTTCAAGTTACTCAAAATACATATGACTCTAGATATTACTCTGTTAATTTGCTCCTATACAATCGACTTTTTGACACATACCACACAGAATCTCCTAAACAGGAAGTCTTACAGCTTAAACTTTATTAAGCATGTATCTATAGAAGGCCAGAAATAGTTCTTTTAAGCACCTTTTTTCCTACAGCACCGACTCTTAAATCTGTTAACTGTTATAGTCACTCACTGCAAAACATGCACTTAAAATAGTCAGTCTGCATTGTGAAAGTCCATAAATCTTCACCAATAGTACAACTGGAGAATTAAACAAGCAGTACATTTGCGTGCACGTGCCTTTTAATATTACTTAGACTTCATACAACCTCTGTGAAAACCTCTAGCTACATGAATCAGGAGCTGCTACTATTTCTGCAATAACCAGTGAACCTATTGCCTGTAAGATTTGTGAAATTTTTATCACAACAGTTGGGAAAATAATTAAACAACACTTTCTGGACAAATTCCAGTTCTGTTCATTGTATTTTACCTAGATTCTCCAAATAATGAAAGCATGCGATAACGTGGCAGCTCAGAAGATGCTACATATGCCAGAATGCCAAAGAGCCTTTCTGCCATTACAACATCATTTTCAGTAACCTGGGAGGGAAGGGGGAGAAGGGGAAGAAAAAAGAAAAAAAGTTAAGTTTCAAATCTGGCGTGTTCATATTTCGTTACACATGTACATTGAGAATTAACTGAAATTTGTTATACAGAACACTGCATATAGACCTGTTCCAGGCATATCTTCAAAACATAGATTTGCTTTTACTGGCACTTTAAATGTACTTTAAAAGAAACCAAATGAGGCACTTGTGTTTGTTTTATTTCCTGTAATTCTGGAAACTTTAATGTATACATATGCTACCCTGTGCTCCACGGCAGTCTTCATGAAATGAGGAATCTTACAACTATTTCTTACATTGAGTATCTGAAGGTCAGACATATTAATTCTGCTCCATACTGCATGCACTTACAGAAAGCCTACTGGAAAATTTCTGATCAAGTTATGTTGGAGAAATGAAAATATTCTGGTCATCCAAACGTGAAAAGATAAGTTACAGTCTCTCTTATTTTGGCAGCATCATAGAGAAGGTTTTATAGAAAGAGAGGATTTACAGAGGGAAGGGGGAAAAAAAAAGGGGGAGGGTGCAGTATTTTCACTGCATTTTTCAATCAAAAAAAAAAAAAAAAAAAAAAAGGTGTTCTTCCATTACACTTCTCTAAATATTATTCATACTGTGGTGTCAACATTAAGTTACAGACGCCTCTTTAAACTGATTTTCAATGGTTGAAAAATTTTCAGGATTAATTTTACACATTTTAATTTTGTATAAAGAAGGTAAAAAGGTTTAATTTTTGCTGTTGTTATTGTTTTTTGTTTGTCTTGGCTCACAGCCTCTGGAGACCATGGCCTGTGTTTCTCCTGCCCTGGTGGCCAGACTATGAACTGACTTCAACTGCCAAAAGTTTGTTGGCATAGTTTCTAGACTCCTGGCTTTCCAGTGAGTGCAGAAGAAATCTTTACGATCATCTAAATCTGACCTGGATAACAAAGGACAATGAAAGTCACTCAGTGATTTCTTAACTTCTGGATCAAATTTAATTTCCGTTCATCTCATAACATACTTTTGGAAAGCAACCCATTATTAAATAAACTTCAATACTCACAATATTTACTAAGCACTTCCAGACAATTTTTGTGTTCTGTATTATTCAAATGTGTGAGTAAAATGGAATTTTGATCCAAGTCAACATAATTTTATTATATTCTTGTTTAATGTTTATACAATCTACCCTTGACTAAAGTATACTGCAACAGCTTAATTCAGGGAGAAATTCACCAGAAAAAACATAGGTCAGGAAATTAGAAATGTGAAGTCAATTCAATTTTCACAGTGTTTAGATTTGCTCATTTTCACTTAAAATTAAATAAGACTTTCTTAGCACCCTAACAGTAGATGACCTCGCTTAACAGTCTGTTAGCAGAAGCAAGGTCTAAAACAAAGAGCACAGAAGGCAGCTAGGGAAACAAAGACCACTACAGGCAGAAATGTCTGCTGGAGAAATAAGTGATTTTAATTTATTTATTTATGTTAAGAGAAGCATAAGGACCAGGTCAACAGAGACAGCAACGCTGAATACACTCTCTGGTTCACAGAAACTCATGTTCTCTATCTTATTCCAGTACATTGTTTGCTCCATTAATCACAAAAAGATTATAATGGTAATATAACATACATGTAAGTCTATTATGCCTGCTTCTTGCCAAGGACAGAAAACAGGCACCGATTCAGTAAGTGTGATGCATCTGTTATATTGGATGACGTACCACTTGGTGTAAAGCATTTTGTAAAGTTTAGTAACTAATCAAACCTTGACAATTCTTAATTAATTGGAGATTACTGTCACTGAGAAGAACTTCAAATAGCGTATCTCCACAAAGAGAATTTGCTGCTTTGCAGTTAGCAAATGTAACAGTTTGACAAGGGAACAAAATCATTGTTAGGGAGAGACTAACACTCAGCATCTAGCCTGGAACATAAGGAATGGAATGGGGAGGTTAGGAAGAAAATAAAAGCTTACTTACACTTTTTTTTTTTTTAAGTTTAAAAGTGTTAGAGTTGTTATGCAATTTTGTTAATTCTGTTAGTATATATTGCTTTTAGTCCCCAACTACATGTACCTCAGAGCTGGCAACACAATAGTCTTCACAAACATTGCACACAAATGATAATCAGAATAGTAGAATATGCACACTTCCCTTTTCATCATCTGAACCTATTATTTAGGGCTGATCTAAGGTCTGAGAGCACAATACAGAGGTTTGTATTTACATTGAAACAGGATTTTCTATTACTGATTTTAAAATAAAAGGTAGCATATATCTGCAAAGCTGGATACCACGACATCTGCTGTAAACTAATGAAAAATAGCAATCAGAGTTAATCTCTTTCTCCTGCTTGCTATGACACTTTTCAAGTGATTAATGACACTAGGAAAAAATTTCTGTGCACACATCTTCATATAGTGTGGTCTGGTTGAAAAAGTTTGTTGAGAACAAAAATATTCTTCAGTCATACACATTTAAGATTTGACATATGTCCTACATAAAAGCACGCTGTGCTACATGTAAACCCATTTACTAAATTCATCCCCAAGCACTATTAAATTCAAAGTTTTCCTTCAAAGACTGAATTTGCTGACCTTGAGATCGTAACAAAAAGTCTACTTAAATAGTTGTGTTATTTTTTTTCCTTTCTTTCTCCATGAAGATTTATCGTCTATTTTCTTTTAATCTGAATCACTAGGGGTGATTTTGAAAATATGATGCAGCAGGAGAGAAATAAACTTTAAACCCACATTCAACTTTGTTGGTTTTTTAACATCAACTTTGATGAGCATTTTTTGTAAAGTACTAAATTCAAGGTTATTTTAAAGTTCTCGTGGCATTACTAGCATTTTTTAAATTTTTCTTTTCAAAATACTGTGCTGTTGGAGTGATCCATATTTGCCTTCATCCTTCACTATCCTTTCTCTAATGGTTAATTTAAGTAAGCTCTTTAACTCACTCATTCTGTGTTCTTCTGTGCAACTAATGCATGTTTTACAGAACTAAAGCCAAGTAAACCACAACATTCATGCTATGGCAGTATCAGATAGTAAGTAAAATATCTAATTTGAAGCATATGATGATGATCAAATTAAAATACCAGATCTAAACAGTAAACCTATGTATTATTTTTACTCTAATTAACTTCCATAAAGCCACTTAAACTTATTTAGCATTTGAAGTTGAATGCACATTCAAGCATCGTAACTACTCTCTCCTTTCATGACCAAAACCCAAGTATAAAATAATAATTTTATATGCTTGAATAAGTTCACCTTCAATTGATGTAAACGGAAATACAGGCACAAAGAACAGCAACATTAGTGTGCTGACTTTCTATTTAAACATAAAACACACACTCAACAAAAAACCCCCACATACTACTGATCGTGTACACAACAAGCAGGGGAAAAAAATTTTGCTCCCCAGTACTGAGAGGACACTGACATGAGTTCTGCTCATTTTATTAGCAATTTCATCTACCTTTTTTTTAAAAAAAAAAAATGCTAATTTATTTTGTAAGACCAATAGTAAGATGGAAGCAATGCTATCCTACCTTCACTCCATTTATCTTCTGTAGATTAAAATGGTTCAGTCTAAATAGAACATAGTATTTCCACAAAGTAAAGTTGACAACTGGATTTCCCTGAGGATCAACTGTCAACTGTTCAATGCGATGCATCTGGGCTAAAGCATTGAATTGCTGCAGGGTCACAAGATTTGTCTCCTTAAACTTCAGGTGCTTAAAAACAAGTCAAACCACAATAAATTAAATAAGGAAACAATAAAGAGTGAACACAATTATTCCTATTCTGTGCCATGCAAATGATTTTCAAACTCAAATAAATAGTCTTTAGGTTTGATGAAGCAACTGATCTCACTTCATTTGAAGTCTTTGTGGCAAAACACATTAATGTATCAACCAACTGGGGTATTACATATATTTAGAAATGTCAACATTACAAGCTCCTAAGCAATTCATAAACCCTTTCGTAACAGTACTAATTATTTTCAATGTTACAAAAATCAATGATACAATTTGGTCAATGTTTACTTTAATTGTGCAAGTAAAGCAACTGCATCCACACATAAAAAAATAGTACAATATATGTTTTTAAAAATTACACTTTTTTAGCAGGCTGGCATTAAATCATACCCTGCTGATTCTTTGAACCATGCCCTATGTTAGTGCTCCTATGCACATGGCATATTTGGCTACACAGTAACATTACTGAAGGAAGGGGAAGAAAAATTGATGGTGAAGATAAAAAGTAAGCTGAGATTCTGCTATTCCCCACAAATTTCCACTTCCCCTAACAAAACAACTGCTTCATTGAAATAGATAAATTTGTCTTAAGTTCCCTACAAATTTAACGATCTCAATTAAATCATTAAGTTTTGTTATCGTCAAAACCTTAAAAAGAAGCTCAAGAGGCATACTAACTGAGTAGCAAGTTGCTTTATGTACATTATCACTATTATATTGTTTGCTTCAAAATGACTGACAAATGCCCAAGGAGGGGGGGCCGGGGGGAAGTACTACTAAAGAGACATCTCATTTATGTTGTTTTGCTTCATCAAGAACTGAGGAATTCCAGGAGTTGCAGCAGCTTAGCTAGCTATTCCCTTTGAATTTTACCTCTCTCTTTATCCTATCAGTTTTTTCATTTTTGAATTCACAACACAATTGAAGGTCTCCTGATACTGTGGATCCATAACAATATTGTAGAACAGCAATACTGCATTTACACATCAGTTTTGCAACTTAAAAATAATCAGCCAGGTCAAAGTCAAAGAGAAATAATAACCTGTCTGAAAAGAAAACACCATAACATGTGAGAATCTAAACTAAAGTCTTAAAAGTATCAAGTTAAAGTTATTGTTATAGGATAACACCAAGCAAATACATAATTCACAAATGTATCTATTTATATGAAAGCACTCAAGGGTGACTCTGCCAAATTCATATTCCATAGCTGTTCACAGAACTGAAACCTGAGGCATTCTTACCACAGAATTAGGAAATTTTATCTTCAGTTTTGTTAACACTTGAACAATTTCATCAAATTCTATGTACATAAAGGAGACTGTGACAATCATTCCAGCTGTCTGAACACTCCAGTTTCGATCCAGGCACTCCAGCGCTCCAGCACCATACAAGCAAAGATTGTCACCTTCCACTTCTACTAAATGAGACTCAAGAACAGACAAGCCTTGTACTGCACTGCTCAATATGGTATCAAGAGACCTGTGGAGGAAATAAAAATGCAGCTATATAAATGAGATTATTTTGACTCAGTAATATGATTCTATTGAATGATAGTCCTTTCATTTACCAAAACCCAACCAAATATGATTGAATTTCTCAGCATTCATTCAACTGCAATACCCAATCTGGTTCAAAAATATTAAGAGCTGAAAAATTCTCTTTCCATCAAGTAACATTGCAAATGCTTTACTTCTTTGGGAGGAAGGCTCTGGGTGTATTTGAGTTGCATAGTGGCAGGGGAAAATTAAATAAAGAAATCACTAATTTTTACTTATTTATGCTCCAAAAACCAACTTCAAACAAAGTATTTATTCAAAGTCACCTTCACATTGTTTGCTATATGAAATGTAAAATTTATGACATGAGTAATCACTTTAAGAGCAGACAGTTGTTAAAACCAATCCAAGATAGTGCTATTCATAGTACTGAATAGTTATTTTTATTCCTGAACAAGAGTATCACTCTTTTCTCAAACATGTGTCACATTATCTGATTAGGATATCACAATTTGTTATTCTGCTTTGAGATAAGAATAATCTTATATTTTATTATTCTTGTTTAACCCTTAATTAATAAGGATGAATAAGCATTTCTTTAAAATAATGTGAGCTTTCCAATTCACAAGAGTGGTTTTAAAATTAAGCAATAAGTCCAGATATTCTCAACTCTCATCTCTTTCCGACTTACCTCCAACATGATACACTCAGCTGACTGGCCTGAAGTGCACAGAGAATTCAAGAGGAGCATGAATCACAGGTTTAGAAAGGTGCCTAATGATTGTTACTACTTTATTCTTTACTACCTTCCTAGCGTTTTTAATGTATTTTGCTTTTTTGACTACTAGTGATCACTCAACGGATGTGTTCTTGACAAAATCAACCAGAAATCTACGATTTCACTCTTGACTGGAAATGTTGAGAGCCCTTCACTTCATATGTGAAGCTGTAATTACTTATCTACGCTGAATTTCACCTGCCATTTTATTACTTAGTTACTCATCTTGAAAATATCTTCTGAAATGCTTCACTATTAAAAAACATAGCAGTAGATCAATGTAAATTTTAACTTAGAGGAGGTTAAAGAGCAATATTGCCTTAAGGCAAAAAAACTGCAGTGTTATCTACAGCTTCTTAATTCTAACACACATTGCCACATCTTCATTAATCTGTTTAAAATAATATAAATCAGTGATAAAAATCACTATGACACTTTCATTTCTCTAACCAGTCACAGAAGAAAAATTCCAAGCCCAAGTCTTCAATTCAGAAAACTAAGTGCACTGTAATTTGCATAACAGAATAATAATATATGCAAATAAAGCACATGTTTATTTTGTTAGCATCTCGGTGGGGGTGAAATTTGCTATTTCATTAAAATAGCCACTTTGATTATATGTTACCTAATATACTATTTGAAAGCATGATTGGGGGTTGGACTAGATGATCCCCTGAGGTCCCTTCCAACCCCTACCATTCTGTGATTTCTTAGGCAATGAAAATCTGTTCACTAACAGGACAATGCTCAAGCTACCATAGTTACACTGACTTGGTCATGGGGGATGATTACTAACACTGAATTACATTGTGAAGAAACCAAGAAGGCAAGAAAGCAGTTACTAAACATATGTTTGGGGAAAGCTTTGGAAGCACAAGAACAGAAAGGACTACAGCAATTTAAAAATGCTAAGAAAAAAATGTTTCAAAAGATGCAAGCACCTGACTGGAGATAAAATCCAGGTCTGGACATACTAGACTGATACTCAGATGGGTTCTATTTGTGAGAGGTAAAGACTTCCTGCCTGTACCTAAAATGTCCAGTGTTGATCAGGCACAGCAGCAAGCGGTACTTGCGATTGAATATGTGTAGACCATTTTTCAGGCTTTTGCCTGGCTAGCCAGGTTGAAAGTGTGCTAGTTTGGTTTTAGCCAATCCAAGGAACACACTGTTCATTAAGTTCTGCATTTGGTTTTAAAATTACCTAGAATGCCAGATGGCCACCACTCAGATTCAAATAAGCAAGACACAAAGTATGTCACAAAAATAATATAACTATATTTTAAAACAACAATACAAAAATCTTAGGAAAAATTATCTTAGGAATAAAACTGAGTCAAAGAACTCCTATTGTTAGAACAGCATGGGTATGAAAGCATTCCAGTAAGATGCTGCTGTTCAAACTAAGAACACAAATTCAACAATCAGTTTATGAAAGTTCTTGATACACAAAATGGTTACAAACAGCTGTAATACTCCTATGTCCTCATATTGTTCATTTCAACTGAAGACAAAAATCTAAGCTGTCAAGAAAACGAACAGCCTTAAGAAGGCTCAGGAATTCATATTTAACATTTCTTGCTAACATGAAGTCCTTCCTTATTTAGTAAAATCACATAATAATTAAGCTTGCACTTCCTTAGTCAATGAGTTGCTGTTATATTACTTATCTATTATATATTACTTATTACTAATGGCCAACAGGTTTAATCACCAAGTAACAAATCTTTTCAGGATTGATTTGGATATATTATTTTTGACAATGAAATACAGTGAGATCTCAGAGTTGAGAAGTAGTAACCTGGAACAGAAGACATGAACAAGAAGTATTTCCCAATAAAATACCTGCTTTCTTCAGGAAATACATATGCAGCACTGCCATTGATCTGACAGGGCTCGTTATCTTTATCTTGGTTTAAAGAAGCCACAAGAGCTATTCGATTCTGCTGTATCTCCCACTGATGAGCAATATTACAAATTGTTAACCGTTTCTTTTCCTGAAACAAGATATAAAAGTCATAATAAGTTATGACAGTACAGCATCAACACACTTGTTTTTTTCTTAAATAAATATGCTGCTTAATCAAAACATTTTAAGATTTTAAATTGAAGAAACAATAGCACTGCTTGGTGGTTATACTTTAAAACCAATGCATCATTCTAGTGCTATTTTGCATAACTGCCAGCAAACAATGTTTTCACAAAATTTGCAATAACAGAAACAAGAAAAGTAACATAATAAATCCACAACTTGTGAACCTAATAGTTAAACTATTTAGTTTGGATCAACACAGAAGTTTCATTTTGACTGTCTGGAGCTGCTTGTAATACGTCTCCCACAAAACGGCAGACTGCTGATACTTTCCTTCATGCTCGTAGATTGACTCTAGCTCTTAGGCTAAGACAATTATGTAACTGCCCTAAGTCTTAGCAGTAATTGCAACATACTCTGTGTGGGGGGGAAAAAGTTATCTTCTGAAAAGTGGAAGAAGTCAATGTTATAAAAACAGAAAATGAAGTTACCTTCATGATAGACAAAAGAACTACAACAGATCTAACTTCAAATATTTTGTAATAGTTTTTTAAAATAATTTTTATATGCTAAACAGGTCTTGTCAATGAACCAGTATTTCAAAAGCCTTAAGTACCTGTTCTTGTATAGTCATGCAAATCCTGTCAATTACCTACAATTCTACGCAAGGGTTATTATTCTATTGTATCATATAGATATATATGACTTAATATATTTAGTCTACTTCAAAAGGTTAAAGAACAAGGTGCTTTGTAAGAGCTCATGGACCGGCAGCTGAACTCTCATCAAACTAAAACTGCGCAACATAAATAATACCAAAGGGTAAATTCATTGCTAGTTTCACTTCATTTGGTTTCTCTGAACCAGATCTAATTCTCTATGAGTCAGCCATCTCACTGTTTCACTGCTCTCAATGAAACTCAAACAATGACTTAGAATTTCCTGAGAGGAAAATATTATAGGAGCTTAGCATAAAATAAATATACATCCACAAAACATGGAGAAAACAGTATAAAAGACAATGATTTCTTCATTTATAATATCATACTCTAAATTGTTGTTGCTATAGAAATGTAGCTTTTAAATCCATAGAAAGTTAACAACCTTAAGTTGAAGCTTCTCACTCTCTGGAAGTATTAAAAAACCATGATGTTCTAAGAATCCTGTAACTTTTTTCATATACTTCAGAATATTGCTATTGGAACTGGAATGCAAACACACATCCTGATATTTTGGAATGGAGAAGGTAAAAAAGGCAAACCTGTATTTGTCCTGTGTAGTATAAAGAGCAGTTCATAGGCAGCCTGTGTATTTGTCACTAATTTTACCCACAAATAGGGGAAGGATAAGAGATGCACACTCTTTGGAGGTACTAATAGATATTCTACCTCAATGCTATGAAATTTCAGATTGAAACAGCAAGTATTTGCTAGTTTCAAGTTACAATTATCTTAAATTAGGTCTAAAAGGAGGCAAGGTAAATCCCTGTTAACAACTATTTCCGTTGAGTATAAGCTAACCACCTTTATCGATTTCTTACCAGTGTTAAAAGCCTGTCTAATATCACAATTTTAAATATCACTACATTAGTTCTGGTCTCCTTCAGAATCTTTTGTTAAGCTGATTAAGATACAAAACAACACAATATTGATTAGGATTTAGAAGGCTGTACCAAAAATCCTGAGAGCTAGAAAGCTTTTTTTATGTTTTAAAATTGAACATTTACATTTCTGTTTTAAGACAGACTTTATGGCTGGAAAAAAACCAAACAACACAAGACAATGATTTACTATAGCCCCTTTTTTCAAACAAGGGGGGGTGGGGGGAAGAGTAATTCATTTGGTATGCCTAGGGAGAAAGGCAGAGGACCAGGGTAAATCTAATTTTACAATTTGAAATTAACACTTTTGATATATTAAGTCTGACCTATAATCACAATGCTCCTAGGTTTAATCTGTAAAACTAACATGTGACTGTTACCATCATGTTTTTACATAATTCTTTTCACAGTGGGCGAGTTGTGGACATCACTGCAATCTAGTTCACTTAATCATCCTCACATTACTCAGTGCTGGAGATGTGAAGTGTAAAGCACTACAAATAAGCATTTCTTTGAAAAACAGAAAGTAGTAGATCAACCAAAAAAGCAAGCATTTCACCATTTGTGACTACCAATTGTGGAGTGTAGATATTTCCGTAAAAATAAAGAACAACTGCATATAAACGTTTCTCTGTAAAATATTTAATACCTACTTACAAATACCTTATGTTGCAGGTATTATACTTTAAGTAAACACCATGATTTGTTTCAGTGACTATTGCAGAGATAGATGATCTAGACTTTAAATGCTGATAATTATGTCCATAATTGTCTATAACTGACACTGAAAGTACATGGAAACTACTTTTAAAATGTTGTTGTTCTGGAAGTTTTTCCTTTTTAAAGAGCTCAAAACTCTATTTCACATTCAACTTGCCCAAACAGTTACGATGTTATCTGGTTAGAGAACACTAAGTGCCCAACACTTAAAAGACTTAAGTGACAACTGGGCTCCATGTCACAGAAAGCAGGGGAAATTTAAATAGTCAGCATTTTCTTCCAATAACACTTAGAAAATTCTGTTTGTTGTGGTGAGTGAGGGTCTCCTTATAACCTCAGCTACTGTACAGCTCTGTTAGCCCTCAGTTGTGGGCTGCTGGATTCCTACAGAGCTTTGAAAACATCCAAGAATTCATTTTACAAAAAATAAATTTTAGAACTGTGAAGATTCTGCTAGCAATAACTATTTCTTACTCCAGTAAATATTAACTTCAGCCTCTGTTGGAAAGGAATTACACTCTCTGTACATTTCAAAGTACATCTCAAACTTTCCCAGAAGAGTGGATTTTAAGCAATAGAAAATAGTCTGGAAAAAGAAATTAAGAAACTCTGGTGTTAGGGTAGACAAGTATCAGCAAGGGAACCAGAAGAGATGACTTTGCTGAAATTAACTTTTTTTATGAAGTGAATACAGGAAAACACAAATTGTTTGCTATTGAATGAGTGCTTATAATTTCATTTACACTGCATAGAGTTTAAGAAAGTCTGGAGGAAAATGACAACAACAAAAACTGCGGAATATGATTCAATAAATATTTTCTTCAGATTTAACTATGAAGAAACTATTATAGTTCACAACTTTTTTCACTGGACATTGTATCTATGAGCAGATTTGTTTCTTTCAATTCAAATATGTTGAAGAGGAAAAAAGAAACCAGAAACATAACACACAAGAACATCTTTAGAAAGTAAAGATGCACAAAACCAACAAATTGTGCAAAAGACATTGGTATCGGGCTCTTATGACACTTAACTATTTAAAGATAGGAAAGATACCTTGGTTAATCTATTTGAGGATAAGAAAGATACCTCGATTAAATTACAAAAATCTACAATTTAACGTTGAAATCTGAGTAACAATAGCACTATATATTTATTTTTATTTTTTTCCTCTTCTAAGGGAAGTTTCCACTAGCAAAATGCACTGTGAAATCTAGGCCATCAAGACAAACAAATCCCCTCCTACAAGGAAATACTACATCAATAGTTAAGAACATGAAATACAAATAAACACTTTCAAAAAACACCTACATTTTTTCCAGTCCAGAGACACACTTAGCTTTTCAACAGCATAAAATAATACTATGTGTGAATATTATTTACTAATTTCCCATTTCTTTGTTACTAAGAACTGGCACCAAAACTTCAAACCTGAAGAGACTTTAAATATACCAGTATCATACACAAAGGGGAAAAAAAAAAAAAGTATCTAAGACTTTTTTGTTGATTTTTAAAAGAGAAAAGCAAAATACACAGATACAAACAAACAGGAAATCAAAATATATTCTTAGGCACTACACATGGAAATTTTTTTTCCGCCCCCATATATTTAGATTCCTGGGGTGTTTTTATATACTTAAAACGTCTTTTAACATACTGTTAATATTCTGTTTGTATCTTTTTATTTTTCAGAGTTATATACATTTACTACACTTCTTACTGCCTCCTGCAACTACTTTCAGTCTAATGAAATATAATTTTACCAAGTCAACTTAACAATATGGATACATGAAAATTTTTTGTTTGTTTGCCTGCCAAATTGAAAGAGCTTTTTGCAAAACTATTACCAGATGACAAAAAGTTTTAGGTACTTTTTTTTTTCTCCAAAGTGTTTAAGAGAGAGAGGCATATGGGGATATGTAAAAACTACAGCAAAAAATATTAGGATATAGAATATTGCTGTAAACTAGTTTACAGTAGGCTTAGAACAGTCATAGAAAATACCTTAAGCAAGGTCTGTCTGTGGCTTTCACGCTTCCTTTCTTCTTCTTTCCTTGCTGCAACAGATGCCATACGTCTTTCTTCTTCCTAGATGAAAAAAGAAAAACAACAGGAATTAATCAGGTTCTGAAAAGTATTACTGATAAATTATTAATGAATTTTGTGTTGGTATTTGAAATGCAAATTTTAATTTTAATACAATTTTAGGATTTTTAATGTTTCTAAATATTGTTTATACTTTTCTTAATCAGCAACAGAACTTGAGAAGAAAATAATATTTTCAAAGTTAACTATAGTACATTAACATTATTTCTCATCAATATTATTATCTATTCAAGAAGTTAAGAAGAAAGCCATTGATTCCTAAACAATTAAAGTCACGTAAGTTAAGATGCTTCATTTTTGTGGTACAAAATTTAATGCTGCAATACACCCATATTAGGTTGAATGCTCCCTGTTTATAGAAGTCTAAACATTCTCACAGCATGGTATTTTTAGAAGTATTTTCCAAGTAACAAAAGAAATGTTCACTATGAAGTAAAAAGTGTAGAGTCTTTCCAACACAAATATTTGTGAAGCATACTTTAACTTATTTTGATTTACTTCACATGCCATTTGGGTGTTTCGATTAAAGTATCTTCCCAGAACTTAAGGAAAATGTTTTGATTTCCCTCAAAATAGAAAGCTCCTGTCCTAACCTTTTCACTTTCACTTCCCAGAAAGTTCTGTGTTAAGATAATTAACAAACAAAAATGAACAGAAAACATCATCAACCATGAAGACATATTGATATGTCAAAATTTCTATATAAATAAAACATGCTATGTTTAGAGCATTGCAAGAATGCCTAAGTACATGGGTGAATGCTTACTGGAGATAAAATAAAACAGGAACTTCACACTTAGCATCACTATTACATTTTTAAGAAAATAATTTCCAAAGCATAGGAAGATAGGTTCAAATAGCAAACTTATTATCTGTGTACAGCCCCCCTGAAATTCATTGACACATCATGGATTTTGACATCAATCTGAAAGGTGATTAAACAACAAACTTCCAAATTTTCCCTCCATTACTTCAACCTAATATGCATATATTAAACAAGAGGAATATCTTAATGCAGATGAAGGCATGAGGCTTTGGATAGAGTACGCTTCTCTAGCCCAACTGTATGCAAGAATTTCCCTGGAACGCTAAGCAGCCTAACTTTTTAAAAAGTTTTGGTTTTTTTTTTCCTTTTTCTGTTCTGAAAGCAACTTCTGCCTTTTTGAGGGTGAAGTTTTGTTGTCAGCCTCTTCTGCTACTGGGCTTTTCACTTCTTCCTAAACAGTGTATTACCAAGGGAGCGGTGTCATAGAATTACAGAATAGTCTAGTTTAGAAGGGACCTCAAGAGGTCGCTAGTCCATATTAGAGGAGGATCAACAATAAATAATGAAATCAAACCACACACAGATACAGAAGGTCTTTGAGATCTCAATATAACAAAATACCATACAATGAAACCCAGCACCTGAATGGGGGGGTTCAGAGTGAGGCTATGAAAATAATGAAATAAACCCTATTCAGGTATATGCCAAAAATATGAATATATAATTAATAATGCAAACTAAAAATGTATTGTTCCTTGAGATATGATTCAAGATGTTAAGAACTACAAACATGATTCTCATGATAGCTGTTTACTACACTAACTAATTACACGTTACTGTGTACTAAGTTTGTATTTACTTTAAAAACCCTGAAGTCTTAAAATAAAATACATAAACACTTGCAAGCTACCTTAGTGATATCTTCCTATAGAAAGTGGATTAGAAAGTAAATTAGAGTTGTTTGGGGTTTTTTTTGTTTTAATTTTCTAATTAAATCTTTTAATTTGACCTTACATCTATGTGTTTCAACTTGGCTTCCTAAAGAAACAAGATTTTTACAATTTCAGTGTCTTAATCTTCTCTAATGACTTTTCAACACATTGAACAACCTGAAGTATGTTTAGAAGCCTCAAATTAAGGGTTTTTTGTTCACTAGAGCTTTGATTATATAAAATTGGTATGTAGAAAGAAGAGAAATGTAAACTAGTTTTCCCACCAAGGGAGAGGAAGCAGGAATTATCCATTCTAGTTGGCAGAAAACAGCTGGCCAGTTATCATAGACTCAGCTCAAAACTAATTGTGGTATTGAGTTTCACACTGGAGAAGCGAGAATTAGAGAACAAAATTATGCTTATCTATAGGAAATCAGGCCTCATTAATTTTATTATTTTCAAAACAACTTAAGGTTGTTGTTGTTTCCCCTCCCCCCCCAACCTTTAAGGCAAACATCCAAAGCTTCCTAATTCAGTTTTCTCTCAGCTACCACAAATATCTCTTCTTACTCTATCATCCATCTCAAAACCTTCCCTTAATCCAGTCCAAACGCATACTTCATGACACTGCCTCCACACATAAGGGTGTGCTGCCCTCATTCAAGCCACTCCAGTACTTTCCCTGTAGTGCTTTCCCAGTCTCAATACAAAACAATTAAATTAACTAACGCAAATTACATTCCAACAAGAGTCTTTTATTAACTGAATAAGACTTTCTTGAAGGCAGAATGATAGAGAAAACAACTAAATCAGGGGCCAAATCTGCTTTTTATGAAAACCAAATCTGTACACATTTTTTAATTACTCCTACACAACACATGCAAATAATCTTGAAAAACACATCCTTCCAAAAACCCAAAAAAACGCCCCAAAACTACTAAGTTATAAAACAGAGCCCTTAATAACCTTGTCACAATTCTTCTTGCCATCCCTTCTTGTCTTTTACCTTTATACAAGAAGAATAAGGCACATTAAAGCCTCATAAACCCTTTCCTCCGAGCTGTAACAGAACTCTGTCTGTAGCTTTGGCGTGCTGATAGCTCCCTCTGCTGCTATGTGAGCACTGCTGTAACGGCACCACCATAGATTTTGGCCAACTACTTTTTCAACAAATGACACCATTTAAGTCACAGGAGAAAGAGACGCTAAGTTAGCACACATTGAATGCAGCATTTCATTTCCATAGTATGTCTACCTTAAAATTATTAAAATAATTTTACTATAGGTTAGAAACATCTATTATAGACTAATATAAACTACTGTAGTTAATGAGAGGAAAAAAAAAAAAAGGGAGAATATGAAGAATAGCCCAGAATATACATTTCAAAGCATAAAGATACTCAACACAATACACTTAAAATACACAAAATTCAGCTCACTTATACGTGCAGAGGGCAGACTACTTTCTGTTATGTATACCATAGAGGCTGATTTTACACAAGGAATAACTAAGAATGTGTCCTGGTTTTTAGCTAAAACAGGATGGTTCTAGTAGATCTATAGCTGTGGAAAATAACAAGTACAAAATTTTTGACAAATCATTCTTTTTTAAGTGATATTTGACAACAAGATCTATCTCTATTTTTTACTTTTAGCATTACTTGAGTATATTTTCACAAGAGCTGATTTAAGGGAGAGGATTACAATTCACAAGAATGACTCTGTAAGTTCCTGAAGTATCTTATTTTAAAGTGTAAAGAAAAAAAATTAGTGATCCTTCCCTAAAACACCAAAACACACCACGGTGGTGATGGAATCCATAATAAATTCTGTTCTGGATAAAGCAATAGAACCTACTCCCGGATAAGCAGAGAAATGTCTTAAGCAAATAATCAAAACCAAATACCATTCTCTAAGCATCCAAACCTCAATGAAAAGAAGCCAAGTTTTACTGTTAAAAATATGCAGCTCATCTTTCAATTTGGGAACTGCACTACACTTTAAAATTTTATATATATATGTATGTATATATATATATACACACATATACATACACACACATATACATATACACTTACACACACACACTTCACAAATTCTGCTAAGAAGGGGGATTTAATGTGATGGATAGCACGTGTTCCTGGTTAAATAATTTCTCCATAAGGAATATGTACACATTTCATTCATATTTTAAATTCTGCATGTCTGCAGACAGTATCTGCTCACTGTTACAACTGGAGGAAAAACAGACAGGTCACAGCTAAACTGTAAGCAACACTGGATAGGTCTACTTTTTCAAAAGTTCATACTACAAAAGGAATCAAAAAAGCTTCAATGCCCAGAAAAACAACCATTGTAGTATGTTAACCGAACAAGGCAAATTGCTACACGTGCAGCCTGAGCCTGTTTTGACTGTAATGCACTCCAATTTCACATGAGCCTGTTTCATTGAGCCACAAATCAAGTTATATTACCTCGCAACTAAAGGTGTCCCTGTTAACAGACAGTTACTAATGGCTAACGGGGGAGACAGAGTAATCTGTCCAGCCACTGTAATTCAGCCTCCTCCCCACTCTTTAAGCCTCTAGATTGATCTATCAATGGAAGTGTTTTACTTCCTCAAACTCTGAGTTGATGTTTTAGATACAGAATACAAAGTGGCTGTGTTTTCAGATGAAAATCATCTTCTAGCATGTACAGTGAATAAGTGTTTACAGTCTTACAGTGAAACCTGTTACAGGTGATGAACCTTCACCATTTTCACCACCACTAGGTCCACACCTCAGTGGTTTAAGAGCTTAAATCTTACATTCAAAAATGGCTTAGGAATGAGATGGCCTAAGAAAACACCAACTTCCTCACAGGTCAGGGTTTAAAAGCTGTCATATGATGCAATCCCTTGAATAAAGGCACATCTGCCCCAACTTAAGAAATATTAGAACAATTACAACGCAAAAAAGTTTTATTGCAAGTGCAGATTATTTTATTTTCACGGCAACTATGCTTCTGAATAGTTCCCTAAGGCAGAGGCAGTCGCCACCAGACTTCTGCTCCAAGGTTCTCTTTCTCCAGAGACTTGAAAAGGCCTAGCACCAAAGAGCATGTCTTCTTGAAAACCATTATGAATAAAGCTTCAAAGTCTCCTACAAACTTTTGAAAATATCCTTCAGATTGTATTCTTTCTTGAAATAATTTTCTTGTCCCAGTGAATCCAGCAAGAAAAGTTAAAAGCAGAAGTAGCAATTGTGTAAAACTCAGTTCTCAAACAGAAGAGCTTCTGAACAGGTCAGTGAAGAACTCCTAGTCAGAAATAACCAACATTCCAGGTCAACTCTCAGGTCTTTACAAAACAAAGCAACGCTTAAGCTCAAAATGGTCTGGACACTCTTCAGATTAATGAAGAAAAGATCCTATAAATGTAAGTAGAATTTAGGTATACCAATTGAGTGATAAAAAGCACATAGCCAATATTGTACTTCCATTCTTGCACCAAGTTACATTTACCCTAACAGTTGATGGCAACCACATGTTGCATTACCAGTCAGAATAGCTGGATTTGGCATTGCCAACTCTCTAATTTTATTAGAGATCTCAGGATACTTGTTATTTTTCTTAAAATCCCAGCTTCTTAAGTCATATGATTATCCGGGTAACACAGTTTTTATTGGAGAAATCAGATAGCACCCTCTACGTGGAGGAAATGTTAAAAAAAGTTCTCAATGCTCAAAAATCAGAAGGAAAATAAAAAGAATGCAAAACACATTCTTTTTACAAGTAGATTTATGAGCAGCACAACTGGTAAAGCCTGGTTTTCTATGGCTTTTTGTCTTGCGGTCGATTGTCTGATGTTTAACAAGGTGCGAACCAGATTAAGTTTTTCCCATGGCTGTGCATTTCTAACAGCCTTTTCCCCACACAGATCCCAGAGAGCCTGAGAAGGAGTTTGAATTATTTCTACAGTTTCTCCCTTCACCCAGAGTTCTACCAGGACGCACGTCCTCTCAAGAAGGGGCAGGAGAGGGAGAGACATTTTCTTTATATGACTCAAGTTTCTGAAATAATACTGAGAAAATGATCTTTTTAAAAGCAAAGCAATTAGCCAGTATTCAATTAAGTCAGTATAAATTCACAAAAAAATCCAACCAACTCCCAGAGAATACCTGCGAACAAACAAAATATTTACTATTTTCAATGCTGGGACTAAAACGCTCACGTCCCAAAGCACTTTATTTTTATAGTTTTTTAATTTTAAAAATTAATGTTTTCCACATACATGTTATATTTTATATCACAATTGGCTCTATTTTATACTCATGCTGGATTGCCTATAGGACAACAGGATAGTTGGTAAAAAAATAGCACAGTATTATAATGCAGTACAGCCTTTGTACAAAACAATGAGCATTTAAAATAAGGTATATGTATCAGCACCTGGTCAAAAAGATAACACTGCAAGACTGTTGCTTGTAAAGTATACTTGTTATCTTGCTATTGGATGGATTTTTCCTGTAAGAAGGTCATGCTTACACATCACTTGAGTAAACACAGAAGAATTAAGATAGTTATTCCTATATTAAGAGAAAATAGTTGACTTGATGGTAAGGCCCCCAGCATTCATCCTCTACCTTACAGTGTACTTTCAAGAAGTCTGTAGGAGACTCAGTTGTCTGTAAGTCCTCTCTTCATTATCAAGGTTACTTGAAATTGAGCAGCAGAAACAGAAATGAATGAGGAGAGTAGGTTATGTAAGGAAGGGAGAAATACAGACAGGCACACAGAAACTGTATGATCACCAGGTTTCCTTAGGGAGGCAAAGTAAAGAAACCAACAAGATTTTTAAATGAAAGATACCAGTAACACAAATTTTAGGGTAAATAGACTATTCCTTTGGAAGAAATACACTGTTCCTTTTCTGCTATACTGCAAACCAGTAAATACTGTGTTGAGAAAGTTCTAACCAAAAGCTTTGCAGATTCTCTCATGCAGATTTCATGAGAATTGATCACACAGTATTTACTAATGAAGAGCTTAAGCTCTTGAGTTAATTTAATATGTTTAAAAATAAACATATTAAAATGAAGCAAAAAAGCACACCCTTACATAATACTGAATAAAAGAAATATATTAATGTTTTAAATATAGTAATATCTATATACAATTAAATTTCATAATAAATGAAGAAAAAAATGTGGTATTTTTAATATACATATATACACAGAAAACCCAACATTTTACTTTTGAATTTAAGTATCTAGTAAGTTTGACAAAACCAGAAATTTCTTACTGTGATTCTCTTCATATCTAGCTGTCGGAGCTGCATCATATGATGGAGAACAGTGTGTTTGTACCATGTCTCCTGAGCTATTGGATTGCCATCAAGGGTGATATCTGACAAAGATGAGGAATCAGCAAGGCACAGAATATCCTCAAAACTGCAACCAAGAAAGTTTAAAGTTTTAATGTCATAAAGTAGGAATAATTTTGAGATGGAAGATGTTATTTCTTAAGGATAGAACATTAATATTTACCTGTACTGAAAAAACCCACTCATCAGTATTGTGTATGATAAATCAAATCTTTAAAGTATTTTGAAATACCAACAGCTGCTGCTGTTAAACTTTTTAATATCTCCATATAAAGGTAAAAAGAGAAGCAGAATAAGGAGAACTTGTTAACTATGGGAGTATAGCTTCACCTAAAAAAGCCCCTAAAATAGGATAGGTATCAACTCATATTCCAAAAAATAATACGAGGTGTATTTGCCATCAAATCCAGCATGAAAACCATCGAAGGTACAAGAAAAAAGCCAGCCACAAATACCACAGAATGATCCTGGGTGTTTGCAACATCATTAAATACTGGAAGAAAAATAATTACAAAAGCATCATATTATCTTCAAAACAGATCTGTCTATTGTTACAAGTTCAGTCTACAAACACTAACAAGCTGGCTTTTTAGATGACATCTGATTTGGTTTCCTGACAAAAAAACTGGCCTGTGTAAAATGTATTTAGACCTGTACAGCCTGGATCATGTTCCTTTTGTTGAAGATGGAATGTGAAAAGAAAGCAGCTGGCTCAGATAAATAGTATTTTAAAACAAAGACAACTATTTAACTTGATTTCAAAAAAAGCTGAACAGTTATAGAAGAAAACATGACTTCCCAACACCCTTTAAGAAACTGATTACAAGGTATAAATGTACACCTGTGCACCCATCCTTACGCATTTTGACCTTCAAAAGTCGAGTCTATGTTACCAAGTTAAGTAAACTCAAGTGAAAAGTATAAGATAAATTGACTTGGTACTTTTGAGAATTAAGTTAAAAACAAAATCTGAAAATTACAAAACAATCCATGATTATCACATAAAATATAAACAGACAATCACTTTATTAGATAAACAAATACTTAATGACATTCTGAAATGAGAACGTTTCTGAAGTGGGAAGTATGGAATTATTGCCTTTTTTTTTTAATATTCTGACAAACTTGCTGATTGCATCAACTGTTTATAGTCCCCACTCTTGGTGTCAGGAAAAGTCTTCCTCCACTAATACTTGGAAGGATACCAAACCCTAAGTATGCCCTGAACTTAGGGATCAGAAATCGTATGCAGTACAGTTGTTCATAGAAGAGACTGTCATTGAATAAAGTGCCAACTGCCTTTATCATGGGTATCACTCAACAGTCAAAAAAGCATACAGTAATCTGCTGAGGACTAACATCCTGCTGCAAAGGGCTTCAGATCTACCAGAATGACAGATTTTAAAATGAGATATCCCCAAAAGATTCTATGTGTTAGATAAAACAATTTCTGCAACAACAGCAAGAAATATAGATAAAATAAAATCACCAAATAGCAATCAGTCTCAACCTGCGGAAGAAAGGTCTGGGTATCAACATAAGCTAACAGGAGTAAAGAAAAGAAATTACCTAATAAAAACCTCAAAACATTTAATGCAATTAGTACAGCATGCAAGTAACTTCTACACGATACACCAAATGAATTCAGCTAAAAAATGACAGTGGACTGGAAGATTCTACCACCTTTCTGCTTAGTATATTAAAACAACATAAGAACCAATGGAAAAACCACCTTTCTGCTTAGTATATTAAAACAACAGAACCAATGGAAAGAACCAATGGAAAGTGAACTACGTACAGATTTCAAGGCAGTGAAGGTGCTTAGCACATCTGAAGAACTGGGTGTTTCGTACGTGTGGTTAAGACTACAAGTTCAATTATAATTTTCTGCAATCCAGTTTCCTTTCTGTAAAACAGCTCTAGTAGCCACATTTTTTTGGAAGATCAGGCTGACATATTACTTCAAATACATATTCAATACATCTCGAAGATAAAAGATAATCTTCCCAAATGACACAGAAGTTAGTAAAGCAAACTCATAAACATGGTAGAATAAGAAAAGATAACAGAATTTCCATTATGCTAGAATAGATTTTGCTTGACAGACATTAACATTTTCTGGTCTTCAAAATTAATTTCAAATAATGTAAATATATTTATTAAAAGCATTAAATAGGTTTAATCCAAATACTTCTCACTAAACAATTAACCAAACAGTATTTCTGCCACTACATATGATCACAACAACAGAAAAGTTGGAAGTTTGCTAGAGTTTACAAGACCTTCCACTTACACATACTGTTGTGCTTTGAAACTCAGTGCTTCAGCATACCAGAACATTCATTTTGCAGCTAAGAGATATGCTTGCTTTATGCTGCTTTTAGCTGCCCTAATAGCAGCTAACCCCCCCTAAAACTAGATCAATACTTCAGCTGAAGTCCCAATGAATAAATGACAACAATAAAGTACCAAGAAGCAAGCCACTGATTACATAAAGTTTGAAAAATCTACTTGATAAACCTCACAGAAAAACTGAAACATTTTTCCTACTTTGAACACTGTAAAAAATAACCTGAATTTGTATAAAACAAGCTACGAAAGAAATCAAAAGCTACACAAAATATACCAAGCATATAAAAAGATACTGAAATTCCACTGACTGCAGTGATGCTCCCTGATGGCAAGGGAGCCAGCTACTGCAGTCCCTCATTGTTCTTGCCAAGCTAAGACAATTTTTAGAAAAACAGAAACAAAAGGCATGTTTCAGTGCTGGAAATTATTCAAGAGAGGTAAAATGCTAACCCTCTCTAGCAGATTAATTAAGGGAAGATCATATTAAAGACTCCTGCAGTTCATCTCTGATTTATTTTTTCTTTTAGTGCTTAATACCCCTGAGTATTTAAGGAGATCTACTGCATTGGTACTTTAAGAATCTAAGGAACACAGAGAAGTAGGTTGTAGCTGTCTGCAAAACACATAATGCAGGTCAACTTAAAATGTTCAAGTACCTATTACAAGAAAAGCTCGTACTAAGTATAACATTTTACAGAGAAAGCAGATACCCTAAGAACAGCACAGTATTTCCAGTAATTAGAATATAAAGCATCCTATATTAAATTATTTGATTCGAAGCAAGGGAGGCTGAAGATAATGCAGGCATTTTGTTTCTTTTTAAAAGATGTTGACACTAGTATAATTGCAGACTCCAAAAATGCATGAATATGAGAATGCCTAGAATACAAGGTTTTCTGTTTATAACAGAATGCACTTAGTTACTTGAAATTATGGAAGCTCTGCTTTGCAAGTTTAGCTATTCTGCTTCTGCCATTTGGTTTGAAAGAGAAATAACCATTAATATACCTTTCAGACTTTATGGACAAGTAAAATACAAGCATGAAACAATCTAATTATTGCAAGCAGAATCTGACTCAGCAGTTTGCATAACTCCATGAATACAGTGACTTATGTTACATATAATATGTACTTTGTGTAACGTTGCTTTAGCAGACATGTAGTTTAACAGTAAAACAACATATTTACAAAACTATTTTAATTTTTATTGTCATTGTAAACAACATGATAATTTTTAAATTAAAAAAAGTTTCTTTGTACAATACTCATAGTACAATTACATTTAAATGCTAAGGGTTTCAAGAATTTTTATGTTTAAAGTAGAAAATACACAGTAGCTTGATTATGCTATTATGAAATAAAAAGTATCTGCATTCATAGAATTTGAATTTAAATTTTAATGAAATACAGCTCCAATAGGATACTTCAAATCACTGATAGGAAGCAAACTATTTCCCTTACCTAGATATATTGTTGAAGCTGAGGAAGAGACGTTGGAGACGGGGCAAAGTATCCACATCTTTCTAGAAGGAAAGACAGAGGCATGAATTCAGTAGCTAGAAGCAGCTTTTGAGCCTCTCCACTTTGCCTGATTAAGTACTTTAATTTCTATATGCTATAACCTTGCTGCAACATTGATTTCTGTGGAATGTGCAGCTCCATTTCTCCCTAGTGCAGACTGCAAGGGAGTGTTTCAGTGCAGATATCTACTCTGCAGAAGGAGCTGCATCACTTCCAAAGCAAATTATGTTAAAGGAAAGAGGATAAGGCTGTTGCTAGTTTCTGAACAGGCATTTGGGAAATAAGCCAAGGTGCTGTCTCAGCATTTAAGCTGCAGGATAAGCACTGTAAAAAAAGAAAAAAAAAAAATTGTGACCATGCTGAAATAAGGTTTAGAAATGTAATACAGCAGTGCAATTAGCACTACTGAACAGCAGTGACTCTTCTGCCAGAAAATGATCTGAAGGACTCTGTCACCTTTACAATTAAAACGTATAAGAAGAAATGAGTTTGCAGAATGAGTAATTGTGAATTTAATATATGCTACTAAAGACCTTTACAGAAAACCTCTAAACAGCAAATAGCTCAAATATTAGTAAGATGAAACCTATCAAGTAAGATCAAACTTAATTTATGAAATATAAATCCATAATGGCCAGACAGCACAGCCTGCAGCAATTCATAAACCATTCAGACTGCACACCTAACCCCTCAGATCTAAGTCTGCATCTCCTTACCCTATGCTCAAGGGGCATACTCCAACTTGCAACCAGTGGACACAAACTTGTTACTTACAGCAAGGGGGGGAAGTGCCACGGGGCTCACTACCTTGATTTTAGCCACAAATCAGATTGTAACATGTCTACATAGCATTCCATAAACAGAAACAGTTCATTCCACCCAAACAAGTGAACACAAGGCAGCTAAACAAACTGTGCAGCTGCTACTAATGAAACACTGAATGTGAGCTAACAAGCACCACTCAGAGTCACAGCTCTGTATACAGCAAGCAGGGCTTATCAGCTGCTCAGGTCGGCAATTGCAAAACTCCTGGTTCAGAGCTGTCCTGAATCCTCCCAGATCAGACCATGGAAAGACTGAGTTCACAACAGAATTACATTTGGACATCCCCTCTGTCCCTAAGGCCACTTAGAATTGATGCTTAAAGGAGTGGGCGCACATGACACAGGTGGATATACACATGAAGACTGCCATTATAGGGTTGTGCACAGTAATTCTCAAACACCTCAAAGCAATTAAGCAGGTCCATCTTTCAAAGAAAAATGCAGCTCATCTTTCTAACAGTGGACCCAAATTCACAACTGGATGGGAAGTCTTTTAAACAGACTTTCCATCATTCATGGTATGTATAGATTCATGCTTTTAATGCCATACAAGACCCTTTGTAATCATTTATTCTGTCTGTTTGCTATTTTTCAGAATAGTCTGACTCCTTGAAGACACTTCCAATCCTGTAGGATATGATTCTGCTATAAACCAAGCCTCAGGACTGCCTTTTTAAATCCGACAGCTTTGGACAAACTACAACTTATTCTTACAAGCATAACTACTTGTGATTCAAGGATTTCCAATTTCTAATGAATACTTTAAAGACAAAAAATGGTCCCAAAATTGCTAATCCAAGGCCAGTGGATTGTGAGACATTATTGTATGTTTAATTGCTCATACAAATGATAATCTAGTTGGATAACTTGAATTATTCAATATAGCTAACGGCAATGGGTATGGAGTTCAGTATGGAACCTCATTTTGTTTAACAAATGAGAATATCATCTTTCCTACACAAGACTAATACAGTTACAGCAGGTGGGAGGGAAAGGTGAAAAATAAGTAAAGCTCACAAAAAATGTACTGAAAGAGAAAGCTATTTAAAGTGTATTGATTTTATTTCATGATTTAGTGAGGTCAAACTTTTAAAAATTTAGGTTAGATTCTTTCATTTAAAGAAATAATCAAGTTTAAAAAGCTTGATACGTGATGATAGTGTTGTCATAATAGCTAACTAAAACACAGTCCGAAACCTAAACACAGAAACCAAATTCTTTTAATTAAGAGTGAAAATTTTGCAGTTAAGTGCTACCTCATAACCATAGCATAATTAAAATGATAGTTCCCTCACCCCCACACAATCATAAGAAAACCTAATCTTAATCTTAAAGAAATCTAAACGCCCTCCCTCAACTACTGAAGTTGTCCAGCAATAATATTACAATATGTTGGATATTCTTTACATAAAATTATATACTGGTTTCTATGGTTTTGGATTTTTCAGTACTATCATATTGCAGCAGATTCTGAATTTCAATACAAAAGTAGTGTACCTTCCATTTTTTCGGGGTGTTTCTCCTCAAAAAAATTAAAACAAATTTAAGGAAAGAAATACCTGTACATTGTTGTGCACAGAGAAAAAGACAACACCTATGATTAAAACATAAAAAATATTTTATTTTAGGAAAGGGATATCTGTTTACTATAGGTTTCTGACAGTATGACGTGTTGAAGACTTCATGTGATTTAAAAGTCCTTCTCTAGAGGAAGGAGAGTGAGTGTTCTACTTGCTAAAATCACCATCCAACTAAAAACAAAACAAAAAACCTACACACACTCCCTCTACACACCACACCTTTCCATTGAATTTAACCAGGATAGAAAACAACCAACCAACCAACTACCAAACAATTAAGACAATATAAAGGACTTCCCTGAACAGAACATCTTCTGAAACACTGTTTCTGGCCAGGGAAGACTAAAACATTAAATTGAAATACAGGACAAGAGTCCAAGCCTCCAACTCACTAACTTAAATTCCACGCTAATTCTCCTCTTGTGACAACAGGAAGCAAGGAGAAAGTACAAGCTACACCTGAGAGGAGCAAAAATACAGCAACTACAAGCAAGGAAGAGAATTTCAGGTCATATAACTGATAGAGGGGGAAGGTACAGTAACAGAATCAATACTGCACAGATATTTCTTATTTCTGAAGTGTAAAAACAAATCATATATCGCAAGTAGCAGAAATTTGAGAAAGGAAAGGCTCAGCAGCAACAGGAGACCAAGAACTAAAGGAATTATGAAGGCCAGAAAAATATAGCTATTTAAGTAGGCTTACTGTATTATTTTAAAAAGCATTTGTTCAAACAATCTACTTGCCATACCTGAACGACAGCTCATAAATCGCAAAGTGAAAAACTTTACTTTTTTAGAACATAAAGACTTAACACTACCAGGTTAAAGCTTCAATTGTGAAATTCTGCTTTTAAGATCAATACCTATTTGCTCTACATTTGCCCCAGAAATATTCATAAGGCAATGAAATTTAAGATGGTCTGACTGCTTAGCTGAAGTTACAGAAATTAAGAGAGGGTTTGTTTCTAGGAAACAATCTTGTATGGAAGAAAAGTCTCTAAATTTCTATGTTAGAACCACAAAGCTGCTCCAGAGTCTTTCACAGTCCCCCACCCAGAGAACCGTCATGACCTATCAAGATCTGATTCCCTACAAGTGATCACATTTAAACAAAATAACATCAAAAATAAATTGCTGTTTGTTTCACCTTTACGCTGCAAGTACTGCAGCAGAACAAGGTAAGCAACACAAAACAGGAAAACACAAGATTTCACAAAACTGAAATGCTGATATGGTTTAAACAAGTTACAGTAATAGTGCATTTTGTTAAAAACAAAGAAAAAAGGAAAAAGAAAAGAGAAAAAGATAAGAGTTTTATTCCTTACTATAGCAGACACTTGATTATGACGCAGGTTGAGCTCTGTTAGTGAATCCAGTCCATTAAGGTTTTCTACAATGGTTAGTAGGTTTCTGGCAAGGTTTAACACTCTGAGTTCACTCAAGTGACTGATGTTTTCGATTTTAGTAATCTGTGAAAGAGGTATAATTATGAACATGCATACTGTATTTTATATAGATACACAATAGATATATGTAGCACATTTTTTAAAAAAGTATACATGAGCAATCAACTTAATACAATAGTGTGCTTCTTGTGTATTTTTCTAAACCACAATAATCATGTCATAAATTGCTGAAAACAATCTGTACCCTCTAGAGAAGAAAGCAATTATTCTGAATTTGGAAACTGTAAGGAAGTTTTACAAGCAAGAAATTGCTGGAATCAGCAAGACATACTCAAATGTTAGAAAAGAAAGCAGCAGATCCTTAGTTTGGATGCACAGCACGTTTGCTTGACAGTGTCCAGCACTTCTTGAGCAACTCATGGCTTCTGTGATCAGAAAATGGAGGGATCAAACAAAGCGACTAAAGTACAGTAAACAGGCAGCTGTCCAAGGTTTGGTTTTATACATAATATCCTATTTTAAGGATTCAGGTGATATTGACCAAAAAAAAAAATTTCATCAAAAGAGTAATAATAGCTACTGCCCCTTAATTTTATTTTTGACTTCTAGAAACACAGCCATGTTTTACAAAGGCATTAATTATTGCTCTGCTGACACAACCTGGGTTCGTTTTCTGCTGTTTGTACTTCTCAGAGTGATCTAGGATCTCTATCCAGATATTTATTTCTCCTCGTGGTCTGGGATCTGTCCTCCAGCATCTATCCAGTCACTTATGCAGGATTTGCATACAGTAACGTATCATGGAGAAAATGAAGTATTGCCACTGTGCAAGGGATATTCCTATCATATTCTTAGCGACACCCATGCTATACAGCAGAAAGAAGGCAGCAGGTTTTCCTGCAGAAAAGACATCAGCCTTCTACGATGTGTGGCAGTGCATCCAAGGATACAGTGCACAAAGCTACTAACAAGTATAATGAGTTCCCTTTCAATTAGAATGATCCTCTGATGACCACTGTAAGCTCCCTTCAACACCCTGTACTCAGGCATGCTATTCCTCCTCAGAGCTGCCAACAGCAATCACATGCAGACAAGCAAGATAGCGACTGGTGTCACACACTGGTGGCAGTGAAAATGAACTTTCTGATGCTTTAGACCAGTATAAATCTGGCCATGCCAATTTCCAGAAAGTGTCTAGCAGCTTCTGGAATGGGAGGAGAGCTAAGGTAGTTCTTAACAGTTTGAGAACACAATGTCGTTAGTATTTTTCATATATATATACACATGTATGTACATATATATATATATATATGTCTATGACATATGATTTGAATACACTGCTATAAAAAGTATTTCAGCAATTTTTTAATTGAAAAAGCATACAAAAATAGAGAACAAAATCAAAATTAAATGACATCTTAAGCCAACTTTTGATTCAGCTGCTAATTAAACTATTAT